GCCAACGGGCCCTCCGGGCCCCGCCGCCTGCTCCGCTTCTCCTCCCAGATCCACAACAACGGCCGCGCCGACTTCCGCCCCAAGGCCGGCCGGCACTCCTGGGTCTGGCACGAGTGCCACCGGTGCGTAGGTGGCACGGGCAGGGATGGGCGTGCGGGCAGGGGAACAGCCTGGGATGGAGGCAGGGGCCTGGTCAAGGTGGGGAGAGGATGATGGTGCTGCTGGGGTGGGCTGGGTGAGGGTGATGCTGGGTGAGGGACCTTCTGCTGCCAAGTGTCCAGTTCTGCCTCCTGTGGCTCAGGGCTGTCCCTGTGATGGGCAGCATATGGGCGGGGGGAGAAGGGACAGGGCTGCAGGCTGTGCCCTGCAGCTGAGCCCCCAGCTTGTTTGGCTGGGGACAGCCATGTCCCTTCCCAGGGCAGTACTGAGCTCTGCCCGACCTCGCAGCACCGCAGCCTCAGAGCAGGGGCTGTGGGGACCTTCCCCAACAGTGAGGGGCTGGGCAGGTTGTGGGGGACACCCACCGCAGGGCAGGGCGAGTCTCCCGTCTGCTCCGTGGGGGTCCTTCTCTGCCCCGAGCATCCCCCCGCGCTCCTGGGCACTGGTGCAGCGGAGGTGCTGCGGGCTTCCTCTTGCAGGCACTACCACAGCATGGATATCTTCACCCACTACGACATCCTGACCCCCAACGGCACCAAGGTGGCAGAGGGTCACAAGGCCAGCTTCTGCCTTGAGGACACTGAATGCGAGGAAGGTGGGCACCGTGAGGCTTTGCGGCACCATCCCTGCCCATGTCCCCACCGCATGGCTGCCCGTCCCCAGCCATTGCACATGCTGGGGCCAGGCATGGGGAGGGGGGTGACACGGGGGCTGTGCAGAGAAGGCTGCAGCAGGGACGAACCGCACTTTCTGCCTGCAGACGTGGCCAAGCGGTACGAGTGTGCCAACTTTGGGGAGCAGGGCATCACTGTGGGCTGCTGGGACCTGTACCGGCACGACATCGACTGCCAGTGGATCGACATCACTGATGTGAAGCCAGGCAACTACATCTTGCAGGTGCTGCAGCCGAGCTGACCAACCCCCAGCCCCTCTTGCAACCCTCCCACCTGCATTCCCACCCTCTGCCCCTGCACCCCCAGCTCTCCGTGTCCCCCAGCCACGTGGCCCTCTGTCCCCTGCTCTCTGACCGGGTTGGAGCACGGTGTGTGCTGGTGTGGGACAGTGTCTGTCCCCCTGCCTGGAGACGTGCAGGGCTTGTGCATGCTTCAGCCTGGGTTCTCCTCCTCTGAGCAACACTGCCTATGGGCACGTGGTCCACAGTGACAGGGCCACCCCACCACAGCAGCAGCCACCGGCTCCTCGGAGCCTTCCTGCACATCCCACTGCAGCTGGGGAGACAAGTCCTGCCAGGGGCTGTGCCCCAGGCAGCAGCTCCACCAAGGCCAGGAAGGCAGAGCTGATGTGGCGCGGAGCTGCAGTACTGCTGGGTAGTGGGGCAGGGGGCTGCGACCCTCACTGACAGTGCCCCACAGGTGGTGATCAACCCCAACTTTGAGGTGGCAGAGAGCGACTTCACCAACAACGCCATGAAATGCAACTGCAAGTACGACGGGCACCGCATCTGGGTGCACAGCTGCCACATCGGTAACAGTTTCAGGACGCGGCATGGTGGGGGAGTGAGGGCACACCAGGGCAAGGGGTGTCCTGGCAGGGGTGGCCCAGGAGGAGCGGGCTGCAGGAAGCAGTGGGGTTGGGGACAGGCTGTGGGGTTTGGGGCAGGAGGGGGCGGGGAGGCAGGGGCTGGGGTCCTGGGGGCAGCTGCGGTGGGAGCAGAGGTGCTGGTGGGATAGGCGACGTGCAGTTCCGGAGCTGACAGCTCTTGCCCTCTGCCCGCCCAGGCGATGCGCTCAGCGAGGAGGCCAACAAGCGGTTTGAGCAGTACCCAGGTCAGCTCAACAACCAGATTTCGTAGGGCCCCGGCCCTGGGGGAGACAGGCATCTCCCTCCCTCGCCCCACAGAGGTGGGAGGAAGGGGCTGGGGAGCCGGCGGGGAGGCCTCATGCCCAGCACCGCTGCCACCGTGCCCTGCTGGGGACTGCCCAGGACTCTCACCGTCACCAGCTGCCTTTTCCCCACCTCGGGGAGCTGGTGCTCGAGGCACTGCACACCTGCACCTCCCAGCCTGGGGCCACCACCCCAACCACTGGCCAGAAGACTCTGCGCCCACGTCCCCTGGGCTACAGCACATGGGTACAGTCCGGGAGGTCCTGTACCCCATACCGTGCCCCCCTCTGCTCCCAGTCCCTGCCATCCCAGCTGCACCCCATCTCCTGCTCCCCCATCTTGCCCTGGTTCCTCTCACCCCCACGGCCCTGCCCAGGGCTCTGCCCTCAGCTGACCCTAGCAGAGCCCAGGACCCCCCACCCATGCAGGAACTCGCACCCCTGCACAGCACCGGCAGAGCCCCGGGGAGCCCCTTATCCCCCAGGGATGGTGTGGCTGCCCATGCCCTGGCAGCACTGCCTCCAGCTGCCCGGCAGCAGATCCCACACCCATCTCTTAGTTGTAATTTTATTTTCTCTATAAAGTTGTCAGTTCTATTTCCCCAACGGCTGCTGGCTCTTCTCTGGGGTGGGATGAGGAGTCTGGCAGGACCGGGAGGCACAGCGTGGCTCACGCTGCAGGGCTGGCTGGCACCGCCCCGGCACACAGCCCCCCCCCATCCCCTCCCCCCACCTCCAATACCCACGTGGAGCAAGGAAGCTCCCCTATGCCTGCCTGGGCGAGGACCAGCCCACACCAGTTCCCCCTCACCTGCCTGCACTACCCTCAGCCACTGCTGGGCTAGAGAAAGACAGTACCAGTACTGGTCCTTCTGGGAGAAGGCTGTGCTGGTGAGAGGAAGGTGCCAGCAGGAGCCCAAGTGTAGCTGCTCTGTCCTGAAGCACCCCATGGCACTACACCAGAGGGAACAGACGGGCCCACCCTGGCACAGCAGGGATGCAGTAAAGTGCCAGTTCCCCCACACCAGATGTAATGCAAATGGTATTGTGCAGAAATCCCACCACGGGGCTGTGACCCACAGGGATTGCCATCCCGCAGCGGAGATGGGCTGCCGTGGCTGGCGTGAAGGGAGCAGAGCCCAGCAGAGGCAGGGACAGAGGCACTTGGGACAGAGAACGAGGACATGACACAAAGGCAAAGGCAGGGACACCTCAGCCGAACGCTCTGGTCCCATCTGCAGCTGGGGGGACACAGAGCGCTCCGCTCTGTGCCTGGTGAGGAAGAAGAGAGGGGCAGCCGGCGTCTGGGCTGGGGCAAGCCCTGGCTCCAGGCGGTGGAAAGCACTGCGGTCAGCGCTGCCGGAGCAGCTATGCGAGAAACGCCGCCGGCGTCTCAGCTATTTCCCCTGCGAGCAGCCGGCTGGGGCTTGCCGGGGGAGCAAATTCCTCTGGCGAGGCCAGGGCAGCCTGAAAGGAGGCCTGTTCTCCGGGACGGGAAGAGCGCAGGGGGGGGAAGCAGCGGCTCGGAGCTGCCCTTTGCCACAGCACCCCCAAGGAACTGTGCTTCTTTCATCTCCTAAAAATAACAGGCAGAGGCGAGGGCTTGGGAGCCCCGTCAGGAGCGGGGGCCTGGCTCGACACGCACATTCCTCCCTCCAGAGCCGGGCTGGACACGGCCCTTCAAGGCAGCCCTGGCCGCAGAGCTGCCCGCCTCCCAAAGCCTCTGGCAGGGGCTGGAGCAGAGCAGGGGCTCTTCCAGGAAGGCAAGGAACAGCCACAGCTGCTCCTTCCCAGAAGGGCCGGCCGGGCTCTCAGCCACCAGCTGCAGAGCACAGGGAGGGCCCCCAACTGTCCCCAGGGGCCGGGCTGCGTGCGTGGGAGAGCAGCGCTCCGGCACGGACAGACACCGGGCTGGGGGAGGGACAGACAGGCAGCACCAAGGAGGGACGCATGGCCCCGGCACAGGCTCCCACCTTTGGACTTCCTGAACATCAGGGCCAGCAAGACGCCGCCCCGGCCATCTCAGAGTCCAGCATCGACACCCCTTTCACCACGGCCCAGAAAGCTGCTTCATGGGTGCAAGATGTGGATGCAGACCTTAAAGCTTTTGCAGTGCTCCCAGTGGATGCAATCTGACCAGGCAGACATCTGCCACGTCCCTCCGGCCTCGCGGGCACAGCCACAGCAAGGAGTGCTGCCGAGGCCCAGCTCAGCTGGCACACCAGGGAGGCAGGGAGAGCCACCCTGGCAAAGCCTGCCCCGGAGCAGCTCCAGGGCCACCACTCTCACTCACAGAGGAGGTGGCCTCACAAGCCATGGCTTGACAGGTGCCCACATGTTACAGATGGAAGAGTTGGATCACAGCCTGTGCGGGTGCCGAGTGGGTGGCAGGACACCTCTACTCTAACACCGAGGAGATCCCTGGAGGCACAGCCGCTGTGCTCCTCCCCAGCTGGAAGGACTCATGTGAGGACTGACAGGAGGGACAGGGTCCCACACAGCCCAGCCTCCCCTAGGCAACTGCCACTGCCATGGGAAGGAGGCCACACAGCACTGGAGGGTCCCTAGAAAAGTGCTTTATTTGAGTACAGAAGGGAGCAGTTGCACCACAAGTCCACCCAAGCACTGGGCTGGGCCACTCTGCCTGGCCCCTTCCAGTCCCTCACAAGCTCTCAGTCTCTCCCTGACCGGCACAGTCACGGCTCAGTCCTGCGTCCTTGGCTCTCGGCCAGCACCGCCAGCCAGCGCCTGCGGCAGCCTGCGCCACAGCACCGCTACTCCGTGACCTCAGGGACGACGCTCACCAGCAAGGTGTCATAGCCACGCCGCACCAGCAAGGCCAGGCTCTGCTGCGTCCGTACCGCCTCGTACACATCCTCCGCGCGGCGTGACGCCTGCCCGTTGATCTCCAGCACGACGTCACCTGCCTTCATCCCTGCCCTGTGGGGAGAACGATGACAGGAACGCACAGCGGGCGAAGCAGACGCTTGGCTTTGTCTTCCCAGAAGGAAGGAGAGCCAGGCACTATGGGAGGCTTGGGCTGCTGCACCAGGCGTTCCTCCAGCCACACAGGCATTTTAGCCAACAGGACACCAAGCCTGGGCAAGGATCATCAGTCGGTTTCTGCTGCAGACTGACAGCTGCAGGGCCCAAGCCTTGCTGCTCTGGAGCAAAACACTCAGAGCTAAATACATCCCATGCTGCATAGTTTGCTCTCCCATGCCACCCGCCAAGGCACAGGGCAGCACTTACTGATGGGCCGGGGAGCCAATGATCACCTTGTGGATTAGCACTCCGTAGGAGACATCGGGGAAGCTGGGGTCACGCAGCTTCAGCTCAGCCAGGATGCTGCAGAGTGAAAACCAGCATCTTGGTAAGGAGCTGGGAGGCAGAGCAGGGGTCCCAACCCACTATGCCTGCGCAGGCTTGGAGACCACGGCACAGAACCTGCATCCCGGCACACTGCTAAGCACAAGTGACCAGCTGCAAACCCCAGGGGCACCCAAACACCACCATCTTCCTGTTGAAAACAAGAGGACAAAAGCCCCGACTGTGCCAGGGAAAGCTGGAAACTACCAGAGCAGCTGCCAGCTGGATCACAGCTGCTGTGATGCAGTCCCCTGTCCGAGCCGCCCCATGTTAGACTGTCCTTCGTGGTTATCAGGTCTACCGCTCCCCTGCTGCAGCTTCACTTCTCTGCCTTTGGTGGGCAGGACACAGAACAAAAGCTGTGACCCCTCTTTTTGCCAGACATGTCAAGCAGAGGTATACCTGCATCTCTCCTCCGGAGTCTATCGATTAAACAATCCCAGTTCCTCCAATCTTCCCACAGATTAGGTTTTCTAAACCTAGCTTAAATTCTGCACCTCCCACTGTTCCTCTTTGGAGTCTCTCCCACTGCTCCTCACCCCTCCTGAAAGTGTCCAGAACTGGACACAGCACTTCAGCTGGATCTCACCAGAATGGAGGGACCATGCATTGTGTGAACAGCGTTCTTCCCTCAAACACTGGACGTCAGCTCTGATTCACTGCAGCTCCAGAAATTCCCACAGTCACTACACCCAGCTCCTTGCTCCTCATCAGGTACCTGTTGAGCCAGTTATGGCTCCCTACTTCACACTGTTCCTTGCTGAACTCTACTGTACTTTTTCACAGGCCTTTGCAAACTGCCATCCCTTCTTGATTTCACAGGATCACAGCATGGTTGAGGTTGGAAGGGACCTCTTGAGATCATCTAGCCCAACCCCCCTGCTCAAGCAGGCTCAGTCAGAGCAGGTTGTGCAGGACTCTGTCCAGTCAGGTTTTGAGTATCTCCAAGGTTGGAGACTCTCTGACCTCTCCAGGCAACCTGTGCCAGGCTTTGACCACCCTCCTCACGGTAAAAAAGTGATTTCTTGCCGTCAGATGGAATTTAATGTGTTTCAGTTTTTGCCTGTTTTCTCTTGTGCTGCCACTGTGCACTACAGATAGAACTATTAATTTGATGTGGTCTGCACGTTTACGAAGTCAAGTCTGCTTCTTCACCTCAGTCACTAACACTGAACAATACATGCCCTTAAGCAGGTCTCTCTACAAACATAGTAAAAGCATGATTTTGTGATTTTAGGCTATACAGCACTAAGAGCGGCTGCACCTGGCTGTAGTGGACTGTTGACCCCAGCTGGCAGGTTATAAGTCCCCACCCAGTTGTTTGGTCACTCCTCCAGCAGGACGGGAGAGAGAATTGGAAGGGCAAAAGCAAGAAAACTCGTGGGTCTAGATAAAGATAGTTTAACAGGCGAAGAAAGAAAGAAAAGGGGAAAAAAAGGAGGGGGAAAAAAAAAAGGCAAGTGATGTAAAGGCACTCACTGACCACCTCCCACCAGCAGACACATGCTCAGCCAATCCCCGAGCAATGGCTACCTTGGAAAAACTCCCCCGTAGTTTTATGGCTGAGCACAATGTCATATGGCATGGCTGGTCCAGGTCA